ATTAAAAATTGCTCATAAAAAGAATGTATTTTGGCACTTCTTAATAGCTCATTCCTTGGTTATTTACAGGGCTGGAAATTTTAATTTTAGCAAATGCAACTTTTTTTGGTTGGGATTTTGGGGGGGTGGGGGAGTGAGAACAGCAGTAAGGGAATGCCAGAGGATTTCTATTACACTGCTTGCTTGCTATGATGGCCAGGTGCCTTCAGATCAGGTGAACTGAGAAACACTGATGTTCCGAGCAAGCTTTCTGTCTGGTGTCTCTGCCAGATCACATAAAGCCTGCACGATGTCTGCATAAAACAGCATGCAAATTCAGGGCAGGATATTTGAACAAAAAGGAAAGTATATGATCTATATTGTGCCCATGTCAGATGCAGACAGTCATTCACTACAGCACAGAAGTTTGATCAAAATGCAGTCAGGATAGCTATATTTATCACAAGTGCAAAACTATTCAGACTTCAGTATCATACCAGCACTTGTTCTGTGTGCGCATACATTTTACGCAATGCAAGCGTATACCCCTCTAACTGAAAAAATGCGATTCCCTCTTCATCAAGAGCAAAATTATGTAAAAGATATTATAGACATGGGTGTGTGGGGGGGTGGTGCACACAAATACCTTCAAAAAATTAAAAACAGTAATACAATGCACGTAAATTACTATGTCCATAAGTATCACAGACTCTGGATATATCCCATGGAAATATTGCATGTCCCCTACAAATATTTTAAAGCATAATAAACCATGAGATTCGAGATTCTACTATACATCAGGCCTGGATTTTCTCATCTATAATGCACTAGCTATTGGTTGTCCTGAGAGTTAGGCTAGCTGTGGGGGAAGAAAAAGAATGAATACCTTGCTTCAGAAGTGCTTTTGCAGTGGTTTGATAAAGTGAAAAAAAAAAAAAAAAAAAATTGAAAAACCTAAGCCTGTTTGTGAATACTAACAACAATCATTTAGAAAATCTTTTTGTAGAAAAAATTCAGGTGAGATAACACCAGTGGGAAAGTCAATGTCATTTGATCACTGCCATATTTTCAAAGGAGTGCCCAGATACCAATTAATCTCTACAATCTCTTCGTTTGGTAGGTGACTTGTTATCTTTCTTTCATGGAAAAGGTTACAGGAACTCAAGATAAGGGGTACATCTAAATGTTCAAAAGCACACAGTGAGTTTGTTCCAGAATTATCAAAAGAATTTCCAGCCTTTTCTCGGGCCAATAGCCCATGTTGCTCTCCTCTTCATCATAAAAGCTTATCTAACCATATATACACTCAGAGAGAGTGAGAGAGACGATAATTCAATAGGGACAAAACAAAAAAAACCCTCTTATTAATATCAGTATAAATACGGTCTGCAGTATTTCAGTTATTTTAACTGTGGAAGTAATAAGAGACTTCTGCACTAAAAACCAAAACAGAGCAAAACTCTGAAAGTGAAGTATGAAAATGTTAGGGCTAAAGCTGAGTACAGAGATGGAGAGACTAAATTAAATAAATAAATGCAACAGGCCTGCCTGCCTGATCACTTCAGAGCAGCTCCCAACAGACTGAGGTAGAATACAGCTTGTGTGCAAGGGGTTGGAAATAAGAATTGATGGTAGAACAATTTCTTTATGACCCTTTGGAGACTGAAGAGCCAAAACAGGAGGGAAATGAGATCTAGGCCACTCGCGAGATGTGCCAATTTAATGGAATGCACAAGATGGCCCAAAATTGAGCCCTAGATTAAATTCCGATTTGCCTTCCCCATCAAAAGAGGTCCGGAGAGGAAGCAGAAATGAAGCGAGCCGTGCGTATCAAACACAAGAAGTCTTCAACCCGGCATCTGCGTACGCTACTAGTCTCTAGCAATAAAATCTGCAAACCCAAAGTAAAGCATGAAAATACACACTGCAGCGCGTAATTCAGAACAGGCTTTGCTTTTCCATGTGAAATTTGCAGCGTCCTTTTACCTTGCCTGCTTGATACTGAAAATTTGAGACTAAACCTCTGGACAGATGCTTGCAATTCCACGGCAATTCAGAGCCATGCATTTGATCCTGTCCATCCCAAGCACTCCAAGTCATGTCAACCGGGATTCCCTGAGATGCCAGCTCGTATACTGAGTGATAAACTTGGCCTTCAGCGGTGGCCACAGCAGTCACAGAGCGAGACAATTACAGTAGCTTCGAAAGAGACCATGTATTCAACTCTCCTAATGAGAGCAAGAGTCACAGTGGTATTTTACTGAGGAAGGCATGAAGAGTTTATACCTGTACGCCCCAAGGTTTTAGTTGGACAAGAAAGCAAAGGGCAAAAAAAATTAAAAAAAAAGAAAACCCACTCAAGTAGATGATGCTATTAAGTTCTCAAGACTCTATAATTAAGACAAACTGGATCTCAAAGTTTGTTTGCTCATGTATTTTCAAGCTATTTAATATATCTGCACTATAAACTGCTTGGGTTTTTTTGCAGTACATAGAATATCAGTATTTGGAATAAATATGAGCAATTTTTTAATACATAAAATGCAAAATTAATTAAGAAAATACAGTAAATTCTAAGTGAGGATGACGATTCTCAGTTTTCCATGCTTAGATGGGGCTTCATTGAGCACAGCAACTTAAATACTTTACAACAAATCCTTCTGTACCTACACAAAATAGAGTACTGCTAATGACAGTGACAAAAAACGATAACTACTCTCGTTTCCACTTTGAGTCATTTTTCTGTGGTTAATAAATTATATCCATAACAGTGTTAATAAGTTATGGTACGGTGTCACTGCATTAGTTTGCATTTGTGATGAAGCACTTCATATGGCATTACCTATGCCCGTGGAAGTACATAACAGGAAAGACCACTTCTCTGCTCTCAGAAGAGTCTCCCATGCTGGCATTTTGATGGACCCCCTAAGGAAACATTGCCTCCCGACCTCCGCCTTGCTCTTACTTCTCACCTCCGTTGCAGCAGCACACCACTGCAGGGCAATGCTCCAAATTTAATATGTTTTATTAAACACAGACACTCTTAAATCAGTGTCCTTTCCATAGGAGCGACATACAATGAGTTATTAGTTAGGCAAATGTGGGAAGCATTCAGATCAATTTAGTCATGTGAAAAGGACACCGTCAAATCAATGCGTCCTCCCTCAAGCTCCCGGAGGGAAATGGGAAGAATTAGACTGACTGATGGGCTCTCGATCAACCGCTGTACCAGCTTGTTTTTCCAAAAGTTAAGAATAAATAAATGTATTTTAAGCTTAATGTGATTTGGTCTTTAAAGAAAAAAGAAAAGCAGAAGCTATTTAAATTCTTGCAACCCAACAACCGCAGTGCTGGTGAAGATAGAGATGACAAAAGCAGTAAGCATGCTTTTAACAACAGAAATAAGCTCACAGCTTTAAGTATATTTTTTTACAAATAAAGAAGTGCAAAACAGTAAACAAACAGCCCCAAATGAAGAGTTCTGTAATCTGGGGTTTTGGTCATCTCAAGCGCTAACTTCAAGAACAGTTATTAGGGAAGACATTTTTGTCAATTAAAATTATTATATAAAAATTCAGTATAGTTGAAAAACAACTTTTTAAAAGAGTGTAATTATTAAATTGTCTCCAGTACCATGATATTGTGTCTAGTGAAGTATTCCTTTCAAAAACTTTTTTCTCCTTTATCATTGCATCATCTACATATATACAGAAGCTGCTCTGTGAAACACGATGTCCAAATAGAAATGAAATATTCCCTCTCGATAGAATTTACTTGTTTTCCATCAGTATCAAGTAAAAACTAGCACTATTAGATTAAAATGGAGAAAAATCCCAAATTTTCTGCAGCCTCCATAAGCCAGCAGTGCAAAAGCTCACAGGCTTTTATAGTAGGTAGATAACTTTCCAGTAATAACCATATTACTGGAATGGTTTGCAACCAGTGAAGATAATTTTGATTATTTCCACTTCAAAACTTCCTATATTAGAGCCACAACACTGAAAACAATCTAGCCATAGGGGGGGAAAAAGTGATGGGAAAACAGCCTGCTAATATATCTGCTGGAAAGACAGACAGAGAAAAAGAGTAGTCCTCTATAGATTAACTGAAGTCTTTTGGAGACAAAGACTCCAATATTCTGAGCAAGAGAAATAAAATCCCCATAAAAATACCTTGACTTCCTTAATTTCCTCTTTCCTCTCCCTACCACAACTACCATCATTTATTTGTATACTCAATTTGTCTCCACTGCACCACAACAAAATACATTTTAAAATTTAAAAGGTAAAAATAAATGTGGTGTTCCCACCACAGCATCATTGGACACCGTACTGCGTAGAAAAATAAGTTATGCCTTCACAGTAATTTGACAAAAGAATGACAAAAAAAAAAAATGCAAAAAAGAACAATACGACTAAGGCTTGAGGAAAGCATCAGTTCAATATTTAGCAGTGCATAAATTGAGGTTTCATTTTTGTTTAGGTATATTTTGATTAGAACTAATAAATGGCTGATTTTCCTTTGGTTGTTTGCAACAACACCACATCATCCAAAGAGCTTTATTCTTTATTCCTTTCTCATATAGCATGCCAGAGACTGTCTCATTTTATGAATTAGCATTTAAAACTACTGTAGGTTATCTAAGAAGCATTCAGATTCAATAGTACTTTTGACAGCAGTAAGTAAAGAGCCTTTTAACATCTTGAACACACGTGCTTGAAAAAAGTAGTTACATCAAAGCAGTTCAAAACTGAAGACAAAAACCAGTTAAAATCCAGTTTGTTATGAGACAATTTTAGCGTGGTGTAAACAACCTTTCACGACTCCCCATGGGAAATGTTGTAAGACCATGTTCAAAATGAATCAGGCATATTTATAAAGATCATGAAGTGGTCAAATGAATTTGCATTTTTGGCAGATTCACTCCACGGGTACTACCTGCTACAGTCTGTAGAAATCTCAAATCTCACATCAGCGTTGCCTATCGTGCTTTATTATTTATTACATGTTATGCTAAGTACCTGTGAAAGGGGACATTCCTTGGCCAATGAACTCTGGTTCATATCCTTCAGTAAGTCCTTCAGAGCATTTCTTACTGTTGTGTGAGACCATTGTTCAGGAGGCAAGTCTTCTAGTTTAGGGCAACTATTTGAAACACAGATTAGAAAAGGGATTATTACAAGATTGCATCCTGCTGCAGAACATTCCTTTAAGACAGACAGATTTCATTTTGCGCATCAAGCAGATGCATCTGGAGATTGCTCTCGGTCTCCTGATTGTTCCGATTAGTTAATTACTTTATACAACACATCTGCTGTATTGATGCATGAATTATACATCAGCTGCATGTGGCGACTATTTTTTCATGTTACTTCTACCTTCCTGCTCTGATGCGCTTGGTAAAACAATTTAAGGTGTAATGCTTTCTCACGACTGATCATGAAAAGCATTAATATATTAACCGTTTTTTTCTTTTTTGTTACCGTGAAATTTAAGAACCTAGACAGCAACAATAAGTGTGAGCAAGTCATTCTTTTACAAAATGCACACAGATGGTACTGTTCATGATATGCAAAAATATTTTTCTCTTAAGTAAACTTTATGTAAAATGCCTTCTTGTAATGCATCATTTAATTGACTAAAATGCAATATAGTTTTAATGAGATATCCAAAGAAAATCTATGTATCAGAGCTATAAAAGTTTTCTGCAATAGTATACTGTAAGTTAAAGAAGAATTAGAGTAACTAAAAAGGAATTTAGATAAGCCTTTGTACTTTGAGCACACAGCACAGTGGGAATTAAATACAAGCAATATTAACAGTAAGAGCAGACAAGTAACAGTTCACGTCCCAGAACTGGTATGCAACTTACCTGTGTAACTGGATTTTCAGTGTGACCACATGATACACGTCTTGCAGCATGTCTGCTACTGTAGCGTCAGGGGCATCTGTCACATAGGAGAGTGGAACTGGATTCCACTTCCCAACCTGGATAAGCCCTGTGGGATTTTTATTTTTGAAGGGGAGGGGGAGTGGGCAAGAAGGGCAGGAAAAATTGAAAAAAGTCATTTAATTCCTGTTAATTCCTAGGGGCAAAATAAATACCTGATTTTAACAAGATCACCACCTTTGTTTCTAGCCTCTTAAATCTGGCAAAACAAAAGAACAACCCCCCCCCAAAAAACCCCACCCACACACCACCAAGGATATGATTTATCTATATTATGAAATTATACAAATGCATTACAGTAGAGATTTTTTAATATGTATAGAAGTGTATTTTCCTAAGTTCCCATGAATTCAGTAGGACATGATATAATAGTTAGCATTCCTCTTAATAAATTAGAAAGGATTTTGCAATGCAAGGACCGAGTTAAAAAAAAAACAAACCAAACCAAAAACTTTGCAGTCTCTAAAACCATCAGGAACAAAATAAAAGAAACAGAGCTGGATATTCAGTCATAAATGCAAGTTGACTCTCAACAGTCCATCTGCTCAAATATGCTTTACACTTCCTTGTGGATCCTCAGTGGAGCAGATTATTAAGGTCAATAAGCATACTAATGATTCAGTTGAAGTCTTTTTTTTTCTTTAAACAAAAAAAAAAAATATCTACCTCCACATTCCCCACGAACAAAACGTGCACTAACTAAACAAAAATACATTAAGGGAAAAAAAAAAACCATACAGAGACAGAATCTGCAAGAAGTTTAAGAAGTAAAAGCTGCACTGCATTCCTGAAAGAAATCCTTCCCCTCCCCCAAGACCCCACAAACAAACATAATTCATCGTACAGTTTCATAATCTTATTTACCTTTTGCTTGGGCAGCAGAGCTGTGAGAATATCCAAGTGATAGCAATGCCATTTCAATCAGTTGGTTGAAAAGCATATCCTTCCTCACCAACACAAATTCTGCATGCTCCTCCTTAGAATCATACTCAATGGCATTTTCATAATGTTCCACTACACAGAACACTGGAAGCATACTTCCTATTAAAAAAAATTAAATTTAACGTATTAAACTTGAGTTATAGTAGAGTAGGTGGGTCTATACAGCGTTATGTAAATAAAACCTGTACAAACAGGCAGAGGAGGCATCAAGAATCATCACAAATATTTGATAAACATATTCCCTGAGTTCTTTCCCCTCACCCTCCCCAAAAAAGAGAAAGTTCTACAAAACATACATCTCTCTGAAAAGCAGAAATGCAAATTTATCTCGCTTGATCGGATACAGATTAAAGAATTACCTTCTATAGAAATAACAAGGTTGACTGAAGAGAAGTTGATTCTCTCTGTCCTGCCTGATTTGTTGTGAGTAGCAGGCAGCACGAGAACCTAAATACATACTGCAGATGTCTTCACTGTAAGCCATTTTAGTACCAGCTACATAATTTTGTTCGTTAACATTAAAACTTCCTTAGTCCTGCCAAAAATATTTAATTGCCTTCAACATCAACAACAAATCACCTTGCGTGTTATACATTCGCTCTGAAACGAGTACACAAGGAAACAAGGCAAAAGTTAACACTAATTCGTGCTTCATTCATTGAGTGCACTTGAGCTCTACTTTCACTCGCATCTTTAAGAAACAAATCATGATTTCAATGCCGTTTTAAGAAGTGTACCTGCAGTTTGGGCTTTTTTTTTTTGTTGCCTCCTGTATGTTACAGTCAATATTTCTGGTATTCATCGCTATTTTCTATGCCTGAAAGTAATTACTAATTTCTAGTTTTGTAGCATCATATGACAAACCCTTCCCTACGCTGCACAGAGTATTAAGCAAACAACCTTTTTCCCTTTCCTTTGGCTTTTTCTTTAATTTTATTTTTTTCGTCCCTTTTGACAACAGACAGAGAAGTAACAAATGACCCAAGCTGTTTTAGGGACAAAGTCTCTCTCGGCAATCAGATTTCTAGACTTTGTGAAAATCCCTCCTGGACTCCCAGACGGATGCGGATGACACGATGACCTCAGACCTGCGGTTTTAGGCCCCGGTCCCGTCCCGCTGTCTCCAGCAGCGCAGGTTAGGATCTCTTAATGACAGAAAGCAAAAGGGTTAAAAGCAGATGTACAGAACTGTCTTATGGCAGCCTGCCAGAGGGGTATCATCTTTAGCATAAATGATGACAAGGGTTATTTTAACAGGGCACCCAGGAACTCCAATTAGTCCTACAATGTTAATGCCTCTATAACCACTGCCCTCTAGACTTACAGAAACCTCCTAACCTGCTAAGGTGCACCAGACATACCGTAGTCGAAAAAGAAGATTTACTCTTGACAATAGACACACGCTTTCACACCGTGTCTGTTGATTTGTGCTCTAACGTATAGCAAGAAATCACTATAAAAAAGATACCTCTTAAGCACGTATATTTAAACTACATCTGTTCACCAGAGAGCCAATCTCTGGCAAACAAACCCCTTCAGGCTCGCTTGGAAAAGCTCACAAACTCACTCCAGTTTGCCCAATAGGCTCAGCATGAAAGACAAGACTAAAAGCTTGCCAATATTTATGTAGTGCAGGAAGGAGCTTTTTTTTTTTTTCTTGTCTTGGTTTTTTTTAAATCTAAGTAAGACTGGTCAGGAAGGGAGAGAAGACCAAAGCAAAAGCAGTACATGCAAATTGGTGATTTCTTCATTGGTTTTAATTAAGCTGTGGAGAGCTTTCTAAAACACACACACGCTTCATCTGCAAAAAGGTTTTTTTTTTCCTTCCAGGCTCTCACAATTGATGTTTGACCTACTACCATCTGACCCAGACTAAGGGCTCAAAATCCTTAAGTAGTTTCACCGTTAATACCTGAAGACAAAATGTAAACAAAGCTTCATTTTAACAAACAGTGCAGATACACTCGAAAACAGCTAAAGCGTATTTGTTTTTTCCCTTATCAGTTCCTACAAATTAAGCTACGATCAGACACAAAACTAGCAATGCACAGGTACTTCGCTGCACGTCAGCACACTTTTTGCCAGGTACACGGTCTCATGAGTTGCAGCATTCTGAAAAATATGGTACTTTAAACAACACGGGAGAACCTCCTGGCCAAATTTCGATCTACAGCGTAGATTATCAGAGGTGGATCCTGGTAGTGCGACACAGGTATCATCTGACTACAAATCAAGCCACTAAATCTTTTAGCAAACTGTCACTAGTGTCCTTCTGTTAATGTGAAAAATGTTATACAGGAGAGCACAATCTCAGCTAGCTGATCACTCCTGCTAGCACTTGGCAAGACCTCCAAGTGCAGCAACTTCATAACCTTCTAGTATTAAAGGGGAGAGCATTGGTCAGTGCTCGCTGCTAAAAATACAGCATGATTTAAACCTGAAGGCAGTGTTAGAGCTTTTGCTGAAGGTTTACGAGTCTGTGTAAACAGCACGTCTGCCATAAGGAGCAGTGAAGTCTGTAGAATCCTTGTCTAAAACTGTCCTGGCATTAAAGTTTGCTGTGCAAATATCACATAATACCAGAGACAGCTGAAATCTCCTATTTAGGAATTTATGGAACTTATATGTTTGCAGGCGTCAGAAAGTCCTTTTTATACAGCCCCACTGCTTCACTGTACAATATTAATGCACTCTGCTTGAAAAGCCGTAATAAATTATATTTTTAATGCTCTTACCCTGGCTTTCTTAAGATGCATACATTCTTGGCAAACAATCAATAAATAGGGTAATCATGAGCAGAGGCCAAAGAATTTGCTGAAGTGCTGTTTTTCCATTTTTAATAGATAAAGATCTAACAATACGGACTGCTGTGTCTGTTCATTTCAGGATCAATATATTCTTTGTTTTCGCCAAACCGAGGAAAAAATAAATGATTGTACGATAAATGTTATGCATCAGACACAATGAAATTCCTCTGCCTTCTAACTTTGTGCGTTTGATAGTCTTGGTTGCATTTTGCACTTTGCTTAGCAAATGCAAGAAAAATCTGGATTATAAACATACACCGATTATATTGAGAAAAGTAGAGGCTGTTTTAAAACAAATGCCAAATTACATGCAGCATATTTTGATTTAAATTAGCAAGCCTGCTGGACATGGTCAGAAAGACTTACACATTCCGATAAGCAAAATTTATAGATTATTGTCCATTAAAAGTATTTTCAGTGCAAACAAAAGCCATCCATATACAAACATCAGTGATTCTAAATGTGCCTTTTCCTTGTGTAAATGTCTAATTACAGCAAACCAGCCACTGAAAAATATGACACCCAAGTTGTTCATTGTTCAATAATGAATTGTACTTAAGAAAATAAACTGCGAAGATTGACATCATAAATGACTTTTCCAATGTGATACCTAAAGATTTACACGCTATCCTTTAAACCAACTTGCAAGTGTTATGGAAATACTGCTGCCCTTCCAAGCTTGGACCATCACTAAGAGGAAAGGCGAGAATTTGTTTTGGGGGTTCGGTATTTACTCTTACATATTTTTGCGTTTCTTAGCCCAACACGTACTCAAAGAATTAATGCATTATATTACTTCTATTTCAATACAGGAATTTGCTTTAATCAGGGCAACTAGCCTTTACTTTAACAAAAATCAGACTCCACCCTGTAAAGCAAGATGCTCCACCCAAGCATGAAGCTTACATTTCCCAAATGTGATTTATATCAGAGTTGGGAATATATAGTATTTTAGAATGGAGATTTAATCCTGAAATATAAATGAAGTAGAGCCTGCAAAAGTATGCTTTCCCCCCCAAATATTATAAATCATATTTCTCTAATGCAGAATTATCAAAAGTGTTACCTTTTCTAATATTAGTTTTCATCAGGTGTCCAGAGTGTTTTAAAGGCACTCCTTGCATTTTAGTTCCTGTACTTCCAAGTCTTCCTCTTCCTAATGGGCTCCCATTCTGTTCCAAGCGCGCAATTTTGGCTGGTGGACCCTTCGGATCGCTTACATTGTTAGACATTTCTGAATGTTCTTTCCCCTGAGTTGCCTCGTTCAAATGATCCATACTCAGTCCCGCCTCTAAAGATCACCTGCCATGATTCAAAAAAAAAAAAAAATATATATGTTGTACACATGTGCGCATATGTATACGTACACAGCCTGCACATGTACAGAGAAAGAGGTATATGTATCGTAAACTCATAAAGAAGAATAAGTAACTATTTTAACTGGAAAGAAGATGCCTTTTTTAAAAGAAACAAACTTATTCTCCAAAAATGACCTCATACCCCAGTTTACAGACAGATCGCATCATAATCTGGTGGAATTATTTTTTACAAGCCAACTAGAGTGCCCCTTTAAAAAAAAATCTTCAGAGATATTCTACTAAATCTGGGAGAGACTAAGACTCATATAAATGATGATGATTGTCAAGGTATGTGCTCCAACACAGCTATTGTTACAAATCTCACAGAAAGGTTTGTTATTAATCCCGGGTGTTTTTATTGTGCTGAGAGAGAGAGAGAGAGAGAAAAAGATTCTAATGAAACATTTCTCGATCTACTTGATTAAAAAAATGGATGCACAACAACAGATTGCTAAAACTTTAGTTGAGAGAGCAACAGATTTATTAGAGATGCAGAATATTGTCCATCTACAATTCCTGCCCTCCTTAAAAATAAAAGTTAGAAGAGAATTTAACATTTAACTTCGGAAAGCAGTGGCGGAAGATGGTTGCTTTTGAGTTTCCTAACGAATATTATACAAAGAGTTTATCAACTTTTGCAAAGTTCAAAATATGCACATGAAATTTTTCAGATGTTAAGCTTTAAGTGTTAAATGGAGTAGTTTACTGAAGTAAGAAAAACAACTGAGAAGAAAAGGTAGCATCTCACAAAACATAATGCTGGAAAACCCCCCCCACAATTTCTACAGTACTTTTGAAGCCCTTAAATATTAAAAAAAACCCCAACACCCTGGGTGATGCTAGGTTACATGCTGGAACAGCTATTTGAAACCAAAAACCAGAAGTAACTTCAATAGCAAATTAAGAATAGTTATAACGCTTACGTTTCCCTTTTTATAAACTTTTGAAACCTCCGTCCATGAGTAACAATTCCAGTTAAATCACTAAAAATGTCCCAAGCCTAGAACATAATGGAGTAAGTTTTGAGGATTTTTGTCACTCATCAGAATCTGTTTTGCCAAGTATATAAAAAGAAAAAAAAAAAAATCAGTTGCTGAGAACAGAGACATCTTTCTGGTTATGATTTCATTCATCAGTACTGTTCTGATTGTTAGGTATTTTACCCTACCTTCCTCTGACTGAGAAAGGTGTGACTACACTGACAATTATGTTATGTATATAATATAATCACTAAGGACAGGTGACTAGACATTAATTTATGAACTAGTATTTACATTAGCAAGTACAAATACTAATACTGGGGAAGTCATATTCAGAATGACTGGTGTGAATCTGATAATTGCTACTTTCTTTCAGTTGCCTAGTAATTCAATACATTTTCTGCACATTTCATAGCAAAGCTATTAAAGCCTAAACATCTTGGGATTTTTTTTTTTATATACTTCTATGTCGTTGGTATATATGACAATGGCAATTCTGTAAACTATTTTTTTCATGTTTGAACACCGTGCTGCTTTTCCCGATATGGTGAAGAAAGAGGTAATATATTAATCTGAATGTTTACAAGCAACCTCAAGAATACCACTGAATAGCTAAAGTTCAGAAAATCGTTATTTTTCCTTATGCTGTAAAGTGACAGGCTAAGGTTTACCATTCATCTTGATCCCATCTGTTTTAGGTTGTGTGTCTCATTAACAGTAAACGTGCCTATTTTAGCCACTTTTCAAAAAGGTTTTTTTGTTTGTTTTTTTTTTTACTGTGTTAACTGCAGCCTAGGCAAAGAATTACAGACTCAAACCGTTAACATCTTCCGATGTTTCTGACGATGCTAACATACTATAGGACTGGTTCTCTGAGACTGGTCTCTCTCAAGAATAAGAGGATTAACAAAAAAGAAAAAAAAGAAGGCGGAGCGGGGGGAGAGTTAAAAAAAAAAAAAAGCCTGAAACAAGAAAATCTTTGTCACTTTTGGCAACTTCAGAAGTACTCTAAGGCACCGACGTTCTTTGCTACAAAAAGTATCTAGTCATCATGAGTCAGAATCGCACTACATCATGTACAGTGAATAAAAGTGATAGATCGCAGTTTAGTTAATACACTGACTACAACCAAAACACCAAATGGGTCATTCTCGCTTGGCCTGAGAATACCCACCCATCGGCATCCTTTCACCGCTTAGTCATCTTGTAAAAAGCTTTATGTTACAAAGCAAAATTACATGCACATAAAACACCTAATTTACTCATTTAAACTCCATGCCCAAGGCTAAAGTTCACTGAAACCTCAGTTTGGAATAGTGATGAGCAACAACCAGCGTGGCCTGCCCAGGGAGAGGGTTGCAGGAAAGAACTATCATCTCCGCCGGTTCCAGGCCAAGAGTTTCCCCGGGTTTCGCATTTAGGCATCTCTCACAACTACAAGTTTTCATCACAGGCACTGAGAGAAGAGCACAATTTCAAGGCACAGTTTCCCGGAGACAGCGTACACGTACGGGCACACCGCGCAATTTCTGAATGAGAATCGGTGCGGTATCTCCTTTTGTCGCGATGTAACGCCGCCGGTATTATATTATTTCTTTCTCTCCTCCTGAATCAGCCCCCTCCCCATGCCTTTCCCCTCCTCTTCCCTCCCGCCCCCATAAAAACCCATAATCACATTTGAGAGAGGCTCCGCACTTATCCGTTCCATATGGCTCTCACAATCCAGGCCAAGCTTTCCCTGTGACCTTTTAAAGAGACAAAGAAGCAAAGTACTTATCTAGAAACAGAAACACTGCAGTTTTCTGAGTGAAATTAGCAAAACCGACCCGAAACTCACCACTTCAAAACTTGACAGCATATAAATAACAAAAACAAAGGAGGTTTCCTTTGCAGCCCGAGCTCTTGAAGAGGAAGAAGTTCAAGACTGATGTTTTCTAGGTCCCCCCCTTTTGGGAGGGGGGGAGAGGGGGGGCAGCAGACCTGAGGACTACTTCCCCTAATATTCTCTTATTTTTTCTTTTTTTTGTGTTGCTATTTTCCTCTAGGCGGGGAGGGGCAAAAATAGATAGCGAGAAACAGAGTAGCCATGAGCAAAAATGGCAATAGACAAAAAATACAGATTAAATATCTTTTGAGAGAGCCAGTTTTCGAGGTTTAGCAACGGAAGAAGGAGCTGAAGATCAAATTGATCAGACAAGTGTAACGCTCAAAACGAGGAATTCACAATAATAATAAAAAAAATAAAGTAGCAGGTTTAAATTGAGGTGGAGGGTGACTTAAGTCTAGCTACCCTTTCAAAAATAAAACCAATGCGTACAGGAGCAAGTGAGAAAGGGGGTTATTAAAAAAAAAAAAAGCAAGCAAAAAAAAAAAGGCAGCTTTTCTATCCAGTGTGAAGAGCAGAAAGTCTACTTCTAGGTTGTCACTTACACTATTATTCTCCAATAGGCACCCAGAGGAGCAGCACACACAGAAGGAGCCCGCTCCCCTCCCCCTCCGCAAAAATACACACCGTAACAGCCCCCAAACTTTCTGCGGAAACCTCAGCCCTAGAGATCGCTACTGGAGATTAAAAAAAAAAAAAAAAGTGTAGAGAAAATTGCAGGAAAAGGCACTAAAATGCCACTTTTAATCTCGCTTTTGCGGTCCGGGGAGGGGAAAAAAAAAAAAAAAAAAGGCAGAGAGGACCTGTCTCCTCTCATTTACCGGGGGCTGCTGTGCGAGTGAGGGGGGAGAGAGGGAGCGAGAGGAGGGGAGAGAGAAAAAGAACAGAGGGGAGGAAGGAAACACACACAACAAGGCACACCACCACCACTACAAAAAGTGACGAGGTTTCACTCCCTCCGAGTCCAAAACCGGGAGAAATTATAATTTAAAAAAAAAACCCAATCCTCTCTATTAAAAAAAAAAAAAAAAAAAAATGGCTCTTGAAGAAATGTCTATACCTTTAAATTTTTTCCCTTTCCTAATCCCCAAAAAAAGAAAAAAAAAATCTGGGAACTCCAAGAAGAGTTACTCGCAAGAAGGGGTAAAAAATACAAAATAGAAAGGTTGCAAAAAGCCAACAACAACAAAAACCAAGCCAGCAAAAAACCAATAATAATTGAAAAAGAATAATAATGGTAGGCTTTGGTTTTTTTGTCTCTCTCTTTTTCTTTTTTTTAAATTCTCGTTTCCCCTGGCTGGCTGAGTATGGTTGTTATTTAGGCCGGTTTGGTGGTTGTTGCTGGATGTTACACGGATATATGTATGTGTGTGTGTGTGTGTATGTGTGT